GAGGTTACAGGCCTCGCGGGGAAGTGAACCAGCACCTGCGCGCCGGTGGGGGCCTCCGCAGAGCCCCTAGAAACCCTCGGTCGTACGGGAAACAAAAGCCGCGCAGCCGGTGTGAGTGTAGCCTGTCGGCCGCTTGGGCTTTGAAGTCGCACGCAAAAGTGAGCGTATGCTGGTGACGAGCCCAAACTTTGGTCGGGGAGCAGAACTTGTATCAAAATAGTGTCTCGTGTTCGTTAAAACCGCCCCACCTGAGATTATTTTGGAAAGTTATGTTTAATGCTTCAGGTGTTCAGGGCTCGCTTTCTTCTTTGTGCTGGGTGGGATCGGCAGCGTCTGCGTTTGTGCTGTGGAGTACTTTGAGGAGAAAACAGCTGGTGCTTGTCTGTTATGCAAATAACTAAACTCTTACTGTAGCCGTCATTTCACACTTAAAACCTGGCTGATGGCATAAATAAGAAAATCAAGTATATATATATCAAGTAGGTATAGTAGAATACTGTATATAGTGCATATAATATCAAGTATATTTACTTGAACTAGGATTTTTGTGTGGTCTGGGTGTGTACTCGACAATATGATTTTGATTTATTTATTTTAGACGAGGCAGGACCTCTTCTAGCAACACATTTGACATGTTGACTCATTTTTGCTTTTCCACAGTTTCTTGGTAAAAGTGAAATGCCAATGCAATGTAGTTCTGGATATTCCTAGGCCTGGGAAATGGCGATATCACTGTCAGTGTAAGAACCGTAGGCATTAAGGTTATTTCATTGAAGATTCTAGTCTTTTTGTAGAAGTACTTTTTATTTTTACAATTTGGAATTAAAATGCAAGTAGGTAAGGTATGTGTTAAAGGCCGTGGGTTTTTTGAAATTTTTCCTATGTCTGGAAGTCATGCATGTTAAAAGTTGGTAGGGACTTTTGTGCAAACCTGAGTGTCCATATATGCATAAAGCTTGTTGTAGGACTTGAGCCTTTATAGAATGTCAATCCAAATTGTTTTTCTTTTGTCCTGTGACTTGGTATAGCCTAGGTTACACAAATAGTTACACATTGGCATGTTAAATTTTATATTATTCTTCTGGTACAAAGCTAAATGTACACAAAAAATGTTAATATCTTTACAGAAAACTGTTGTGATTAAATTCCACCTCTTTAAGAAAGGAACAACTTTCTCCTTTGCTCAAATAGATCAGACTTTAAAGTTCTGATTCTTGAGTAAATTCCAATTTTTTTTTTCTTCAGGCTGAAGACCATGTAGCTTCAGAACCAAGGATTAAAAAACTGGAACCAGTACTTCTACCAGGTAGGCATAAATCAGGAATTTGACAGATACCTCAACTTTATTTATTATAATAGAATTGGTAAAATATAAATAGTTTTCTTTATTTTACTGTGATTATTGACTTTGGTATATTTTAATCTTAGCAGGTTCCTTGTGGGAATATAACTTCTAAGTATGAAAATCTAATTATATGTGTGCCTGTAGAAAATTGTTCTAATATGCCTGAAACACTAAATGAATACATATGCAATTTTGCCTCTGTAATGTTTTAGTATGTGTAGAATAATGTCTTGGGCTTTTTGCAAATATTTGAAAAGAAACCACTAAGTTTTGTAACATTTATGACACCTTTTGGAAGACTACTAATAATTACAGTTTTGTCAGAGAGTCAGACCTCTACCTATGTCCAGAACTCTCACTACCATAGCATGTGCTGTAGTCTTGCTTTATTTTAAAGGAAAATATTCATAGACTTGCCAGTAGGTAGGTATGATTGACCTGTGTGTTGGAAAACTTCTAATGCCATCTTTATTAATTTACTCTTATTGAATGTGCAGCTGTTATGTAATTTTGGAGTTTGTAAGTGACTTTAAATCTATGTAGACTAACGTTTGTAGTGTGTGGATGAGAAAAGCAATGCTTTTATTGTTGTTCATAATTTATGAAAGTGTAGGATATTAATGACTTCCATATTTTAAATAAGAAATAATCCTTGGTAAATCACATTTTGATCAATGAGAATTTCGAAAAGCCTCTTTCAGATACTAAAGGAACAATCTGCCATTCTCAAGATTACTTTCATTGCAAACTGTACATCATAGTAATAAATTTGGCTTGCTGTTTCTAAGGGTAATTTTCAGTTTAAAACAATGGTATACTGCATTTTTTTGTTAACTTTAAGCTTATATGTGAATATATGAATTTACACACACTAATGTAGGAAGCTATTGCTATCATATTATCTAAGTTGATAGAATGCATTAACTTTCAAAGTGATCAATAGAATAAACAAGTTACTCTTAAAAAAATTCTGTTGCTGCTTCATATGGGACTGTTGTTAATTAAGCAGTATTAATTGATATGTGATATGGTCCAGTGAGGTAACTTAAACTTAAGAGGCTGAAATGTTGTGGAAGAGGTTCAACTGAAAGAGTAAATAACAACTGACTGACACTCTTTGTGAAACAAAATAGTACAGATTTTGCTTGAGGCATAAATACCTTAAAATACATTGCTAAAATTGCTTGGTATTGGAAATACAGTTGTATTTTTATGCTTGCAAAACTTCTGCTTACCACTTGGCATCTTACTGGTTATGTTGCAGTTGATATTCATCCAAGGTCTTTGACTCACAAGGAAGTGACTGCATATTCTTCTCTGAGACATTCCACAGAAAATGCAAGGCAGTACGACACTGCTTTTCTCAAAATGTAACACATCTTGCCTTTGCTGTGGGACACATGCATGAGCAGTGATAGAAAACAACTTCTGTGCATTAACTTTCTGCAGTGCAGTTCATTATTTGTGAAACTCATGAAGTACACTTAAAGTGGTGCTGACTGGGTTTGGTTTTCTCAGCTGGCTTATATTTACCCCATGTTTGCATCGTTTCCCTTCTCTGCACTATCTATCTCTGAAATCAGCATTTGATGGCTTTTGGGGCATTCGTAGTAAGTTGCCCCAGGTTACATAGAAACCAATTGAAAGAGTATGACTCACCACAGAATTAAAATGTCCACTTCCATATCATTCAGAAGTGTTACTTTGGATTATTTCATAATAAAATTCACTGCTCTGTACAGCCACAGAGTAGCTCTGACAAAGTCTTTTCATTTTCGTGAGCACCAGTCTGTATGAGAGTGGGGGAGAGTTTAGAAATGAGTTTTTTAAAATGACTTAATTGAAAGTCTTCCTGTTTAAAGTTAAGCACGGGCCTAAACACTTTTTTTTTGTTTGTTTCTCTCATCAAATAGTGCAGTAGAAAAGTGTATAAACAAGTACACATTGTACTGTTGGATAGACTGGCTTTTCAATTTGTCATAACCCAAGTTTCTGGCCAAAATCCAACTCGTATTAAAGCTGACATACACCCTTGCACGTACAGTCTGAGTATGGTATTCCTAATGGCCTGTCCTTAACAGTTGTGTGAAATTGTTTTTGTTCTCAGGAACAGAGTTAAACCTGAGCAGCTGAATGTTTATTACACTTCTTTAATTGGTGGAGTTTTTAAGGAGTTCTTTTGGAATTAAATTATATTAGCATGAGCAGTTACTGTCTTCAGTAATTTTTGATAACTGCAATAGTTGTATTAAACTTTTGATTCTTAAAACGTAGTCGCTTTGATGGACTGACTTACTAAAAATTGAAATCCAAAAGTATCTAAATACCCTACTGTCTAACTTGTATTTCTGTGCAGTGGGGGTTAGGAGAGGGAGTTTGGGATGGGGAAATAATGTGAGTCAGGTTGCAAAATGAGGAGGTTTTTCTTTCTTTCTTTTTTTTTTTTAAAAAAAAAAAAAAGGAATTTACATTGGAATCAACTTAACCTGTAGAGTTTGTTTTTAAAGTTTCTTCTGGTGCCCAGAGGAAGATGCATGTCTTCAGCTTTTGGAACAAAAACCTGCTTTCTCATGGAACTGTGACCTGAGGAGGGTGATGTATTAGGAAAAAGCAGCAAACATAATTTAAAGCAACTAAAAACTTTGGTTGTAAGTGGCAACACTGATACTGCAGTAGGGAAAAGCAAATAATTTTATAGAATTTGGTATAATTTAATTCCAAAACACATGGCATAGGTTTAAGATGGAGTTATAAAAATGTTTTCTTTTTCTTTCTGCAATTCTGTTCTCCTAATGTAGTGCTCTGATCTAGAGATTTTGCAGAGTTAGTTGAAGAGTTGGCCTGTGTAACAGTTTCACTTCTTTTTCCTTTGTTTGCACAGCCTGGTTTAAAAGCATGCCAAAGAGGAAAAATGTGAGAAATAGCAGGTAGTTTACCAGTGAGTCTGTTAAAACGCCTTGCCTGGCTAGTAGGAAACAAGCTTGTGTACTTCAGGGAGAATGAAGTTAAAGTTGTTAAACTTGAAGGTGTGTTTTGTTCTGCTAATCTATTTCAGCCTGTTTTCCACAACAATGTCTGTGGTGTTTTTGAGACATCAACTTAAGAATTAAAAATTGTACAACATAACTGGGAAGTAATGCAGCGTATGTTTTCATGATTTGAATGGCAAAACAGTGTGCAGAGAGGTGCAATACATGGATGGATAATGAACCAGTCCAGTGTCTGCACTGGAAGCAGTGCTGCACTGTGGTTTAGGCAAGATCGGGCAAAAAGGTCCTCGCTGTTGCTCACACAGAATGTTCCACAGGAGATTATGTAACAAATGGAACATCTAACTAAGTGTGAGAAAAGGATTGTTCCTCCTGAATCTTAATACCTACTTGTAGTAATTAATTTAAAATTGTACTCAATATACTAATCTGCTAGTAGATGAAGTTAGTAGTTGTTACCTGTAAGTTTTTTTAAAAACAGCTAAAAGCTAGAAATGGTTTAGTTGTTTTTGTTTTTAAAAGTTGATACAGTAAAATTACTGAAGTAAACTGAATCAGAATTGTATTTTTTTTTATCCTTAAGACTTGCTCACATCAAGGCAAGTTAAAAGAATATTGGTGGTGAGCTGCTGCTCTTGTGTCTGCACCATGTTTCATGGGCAGATCATAAAGTCAACTTCAGTGCCATCATTGATATGCAATCGCACCCCTGGTGGGTTTATAAACAGGTTGTAAGTACAGCTGGACTGGGTCAGATGTTGCCTCTTGCTGATGGTGCCTGCGTAGGAAGAAGGACGAACAGGACAAGCACCGCTCCCAGCTGCTTGTTCTGCCCTCCCTGCTTCCTTCAATGTGTGGCCTGGGGACTTTCCTCTTAGGGTAACGTAATGGGGAGATCCGAGTGAGGAGTTACGGGTCATCATAGAGACAGTGCAATCATATTTAATTTATCTTGCTGGATTTTTCTTACATGAATTCATCCAGTTGCTTTCTATATCCATGTAAACGTCTATCACCCACAGCTCCATCTGGTAAGGAGTTCAGCAATTCAGTTATATATTATTCTGAATTTACCACTATCTAATTTCTTTGGATAAATCTTAGTTCTTGTATGACACTGCAAACATCAAGTTGTATTCCCCCATTCCATGTGATTTGTGATTTTCAGACTCGTGTCATATGTCTGCTCTGTTTTGTTTTCCTCTCCCTTAGTTGTCTCAGTTGGTCCTAAGAAAGAAGCTTTCCATATCTTTCAGAAGTAATCAAAAGGATGATTAATGTTTTCCAGTTGTACTGTGTTTTTGAGGGGGAATCACATATTGTGTTCAAGATTTTTACCACTGGATATATTTGGCTTTTCTCTAGTAATGCCAATCTAATTGTTTTTGCCACCTGCTTTTTCGTTTTTACTTTTTTGTGTACGTGTGCCCTTAGATAGGCAGCTGACTGTAGAAATTATTTGTGGAAGGCTTTTAAGACTGTATCATGGAAAGTTTTAATCTTTTAGAAGTGTCTGATTCTCTTGCAAGTTAGCTCCCAGCTCTTTTTTTTCTATTTTTTTTCCTGCTTTCTGCAAATCCTTAGTACATTAAGTCATGTGTTCCAGACCAGCTGTAATGCATCTTGTGATAGGAGAAGGAAAGTACACTTTTTGGTGAGGCACCCTTGTGCGTAAGTACCCCAGGTATGTTTGTTCCTGACTGCTTTAAGCCCCTGCATCTCTTTCTTGGCATTTTCATCTGGTTTGTGGTGTCCCAGAGCTGGAGAACAGAGGTCATGGTGTTACAGTGTGAGTGCACGATGCCAGCGGTGTGACTGCATGTGTGTGTAAGAAATAGGGACCAAGACAGTGAGGTTAATGCGTAACCCCAGAGATTTGTCAGGTCTGCCTTTTTTGTGTATTAGGGATTATTTTGGTTTAACTCCTCAAAAGGGAAACTGTGATGATTTAATTGCTTCGTACAAGTAGTA